AAAAGAAAATGTCATTACTTATTAGGCTTTAAAAAAATTATGTATCTTTTCCCTTGGACCTATTAGTAGATTTCAAGTAGTGGTTCTCAGCCCCTTCACCACCACCAAGGTTATTTCATTCTGTGGGTATCATGAGAAAAAATCCGAGAGATGGTAGCATGGAATTTTTGGAGTTAGAGGACTTTGGTTCATGTCCCCACTTTATTGCTTGAGAGTTGTCTGAAATTGAGTAGTTAATTTATTCTTCTCTGTCTTGGTTTTTTTTTTTTTGGTTTTTTTTTTTGAGGTGGAGCCTCACTCTGTCACCGAGGTTGGAGTACAGTGGCACGATCTTGGTTCACTGCAACCTCTGCCTCCCGGGTTTAAGCGATTCTCCTGCCTCAGCCTCCTGAGTAGCTGGGATTACAGGTGCCTGCCACCACGCCCGGTTAATTTTTTATTTTATTTTTAGTAGAGAAAGAGTTCCACCATGTTGGCCAGGCTGGTCTCGAACTCCTTCCTAACTTCAAGTGATCCGCCTGCCTCGGCCTCCCAAAGTGCTGGGATTACAGGTGTGAGCCACTGCGCCTGGCCTGGCTTGCTTTTTTAATGTGAAACATGAAGATAGTAACATGCATATCTCACGTGGAATTCAGTGACACAATCATCCTTCTAGAGAGTTTAGCACAGTCCGTGGAACATTACGAGCTCTTATCATGGGAGAGATCATCAAAAGATTTTGCTTCTCAAGCAGATTGGGTGTATTAGGATATGCTGGGGCTTTTACTGTGTCTGGCCATGATGTCCTTTAGACCTTCTCCATTTACCTGCACAATAGGAACCTCTTCCTCAGGTGCTGGTTTGGCGCTCAAGGATTGGTTTCTACTCTTAGGGTCCATCTTCTACTGAGAACATTTGTGATGGTTCTTTACCCTAGTCCTTTCTTCAAAAGGCCCTTAAAGCAGGTTTTGAAATTATTTCAGTTTTTATAAAAAGGTAAAACAGGCCGGTGTGGTGGTGGCTCATGCCTGTAATCCCAGCACTTTGGGAGGTCAGGGTGGGTGGATCACTTGAGATCAGGAGTTCGAGACCAGCCTGGCCAACATGGCGAAACCCATCTCTACTAAAAATACAAAAATTAGCCGGACGTGGTGGTGCATGCCTGTAATCCCAGCTATTCGGGAGGCTGAGGCAGGAGAATCACTTGAACCCAGAAGGTGGAGGCTGCAACGAGCCGAGATTGCATCACTGCACTCCAGTCTGGGTGACAGAGTGAGACCCTGTCTCAAAAACAACAAACAAACAAATGGTAAAACATACATATGGTAAATAATCCAAACAATACAGTAGGTATCTGTAATCAATCAGTTTCACTCCTACTAATCCCCTAGTTCTCTCTTACAAAATCCAGCACATTCATCATTTTCTAATGTATCTTTTCAGAGATAATCTCTGTGTATAAAATAATTTATATTTGTGATTGTTTTACACAAATTGTTGTATACTATACATACTATTAAAGCTTTATTGAGGTATGTGTAATTTACATACAATTGATGTGTACATTTTTTCTTTTTTTTTTTTTTGAGATGGAGTTTTGCTTTTGTTGCCCAGGCTGGAGTGCAAAGGTGCAATCGATCTTGGCTCACTGCAACCTCTGCCTCCCGAGTTTAAGTGATTCTCCTGCGTCAGCCTTCCAAGTAGCTTGTATTACAGGCATGTGCCACCAGACCCAGCTAATTTTGTATTTTTAGTAGAGATGGGATTTCTCCATGTTGGTCAGGCTGGTCTCGAACTTCCGACCTCAGGTGATCTGCCCACCTCAGCCTCCCAAAGTGCTGGGATTACAGGCGTGAGCCACCGCGCCCGGCTGATGTGTACATTTTTAAAGTGAACAATTTGATAAGTTTGTTGTTTTTTTTTTGAGACAAAGTCTTGCTCTGTCTCCCAGGCTTGAGTGTGGTAGTGTGATCACCACCGCACTGCAAGCTGGAACTCCTGGGCTCAAGGGATCCTCCCGCCTTGGCCTCCCAAAGTGTTGTGATTACAGGCGTGGGCCACAGTGTCTGGCCTGATGAGTTTTGACACAGGTGGTTTGACACAGGTAAGTTTCCCACATACACCTGTGGAACCATCGCCAAATCAAAATTTTCTTTGATTTCTTCTTTGACCAGTGGGTTATTTAGAACTAGATTTTAAAATTTCCAAATATTTGGGGATTTTCCTGAGATCCTTATGTTAATGATTTCTAATTTAATTCCATTGTAGTCATAGAACATACTTTATATAACTTTAATCATTTGAATATATTGAGACTTGTTTAATGGCTCAGGTTACGATCTGTCTAGGTAAGTAGTCTATGCATATTTGAGAAGAGTATTCTGTTGTTGGGGAGAGAGTTCTATAAATGAGTCAATTCGGGTTGTTTAAGTCTGTAATATCCTTGCTTATTATCTGTCAGGTTGTTCTATTGACTATTGAGAGGGGGATATTGACATTTCTGAAAGTAATCATGTATTTGTCTCTTTCCTCCTTGCAGTTCTATCATGTTTTGTGACGTTCTCTTCACATCATAATAAGGATACATATTATTATTATGACTTATCACTGTTCATGTTAACGTTGATTACCTGTCTTACGGTAGTGTTTGTCAGATTTCTTCATTTGCAAAGTTGTGTGTTTTTTTGTGCTTCTCCCTTTTCACGCTACGGTCTTTGGAGGAAAGTCACTAGTGCAGTGGAAACTTAAGAAGTAGAACGTTATGCTCTACTCTTTTTTTTTTTTTTTTTTTAGACTTTATGGAGTTTAAGCTCACTTCCAACAGGGAAGACAAATTTGAGTTTTTCCTGCCTCTAGTATGGTAGAGAGCAGTTTTCAGCCTGAGACACCCCTAGGTAAGTAACTGAATTGGGGTTTGTCTTGGCTAAAGTTAAGATTAACAACCAGGTGGTCTTAATTCCTCTTTACCGTTAGAGCGCTCAGTAATTGTGTAAGTTGTGACATCGTTTGTTCTGCTTAACTGTTTTTGTTTGTTTGTTTCTGTTTTTGTTGTTGTTTTGGTCTTTTCCCCATTGGGTTTGATCAAGTATCTGATGATCAAATCTGAAGGAAAATTCCAAATTATGGAGGTGGCTAAATTCTGTCTCTCACACACACACACACACACACACACACACAATGTTGTGTGGTAGGGG